TGAAAGGGAAGCAATATTTTTTCTGAATGACAGTTAGAAATTCAATGTTGTGCACTCTAATGACCAACGGTCACAGACAAATCAGTGGAAAGACAAGATTTTCCCTGCGAAAATGGGGCATAAAGGTTATGCTACAATTCTATTTTCCGTTGTTATTGTCAATTTCATTTTCTTTGGTGGGTGATGGTACTTCTATTGGTTATTTTTTGTTAATTGGAGGCACCACTTGCTAATTGTTACTGGATCCTTTTTTCCCTAGCTGTTGGTCTTACAAAAGTTACTGATGTTGTCACACTTTGGGGATGGACTGCTGTTTCCCTAGAAGTTTCCGCACTCCTAGTGTTAGTTCGTTGTTGTAGGTAAATTTTTCCTGTTTAATTACTCGAGTTATTGAGGCAGCAAAACCCAACTTAACTTACTCTGATATTGTGCTTCACACAGGAACCCCATATGATATTGAAGTCGATGGGAATTTTAGTGTTTTTATTAAATTTAAGGAAATAATAAATGGAATCTGAGTATGGAGGGTTCCACAGTTAAGAGTATGAGCCACGAGGCAAATGTAGCATTTGATACTGGTATAAAGTGCAAATGGTACTTATAATCTGTTATTTCACTTTGCCTTTTCAACTAACTCTGTAGTATAATGCACAAATTTGAAGTATGTTCTAGATGAGGAACACGACACTCTATGGAATGTCGTCATCAGTCACTGTCATAGAACTGCAAATAGTTGACATGTTCCTCGAGAAATAAAGTTTTGTGTGATTCAGCGATCCATTAAACCCATAAATTTATGTAAGAGAAGTTAGATCTTTCCAAACTAGACTTTGATGAAGTTGAAGAAAATCGGACTTTTTAAAGCAACAAGATCATTTGTTCTTAAAGATGCTTCATCTTCCTTTCCCTTCCCTTTCACCATTATCATTGATGAACCATCTACTCAATAAGTCTTCTCTTTCTTGTCCTTAATATTAGTATGATCCCTAGACATTGTTACAGATTTTTTTATTTGTCCTTTACAATGTTGGATTAATATGAATGGGCTTTGTTTATCACGTAATATCATAATTTTGGCCCTAAAAGCTATAGGTAAACATTTTGTCATACGTGTTCTTTTGTTTAAATATGTTTGCTAACTTCTCGTGTCTCATGTAGCATTTAACTTTCTCTTTGAACTTGTACTAATGAGCTATGAACCTATTGATATATGAAATTCATTATGTAAATAATTTGTATTCGAAAAATATCGAATATCAGTGTCTCATACCAAACCCAAATGCTGTAATTCTAAAGTTTTAGTGAATCCGAACACCAGTGTCTCATATTCAAACTAATATTCATTGTATAATTTTTAGGATAAGTTTTTTGTTTACAAAATACCCTCAACCTATTTAAAATATTTTTTTACATTTTATTTACTAGCATTGGTTATTCAGTTTTAAAAATAAAATTTCCATCTTATTTAGCTTAAATAATTTTGTGTGTGCATTTTCATGAGTGATGTTTTAAAAATTAAACGTTCATTCTATTTAACTTAAAAGTTAAACTTTCATATTATTTAGCTTAAAAATAAATGTTCATCTCATTTAGCTTAAAAAAAGATTTTCATCTTATTTATGCTTAAAAATAAAACTTTGATCTTATTTAGTTTAAAAATAAGTCTTTCATCTTATTTACCTTAAAAAATAACTTTTATTTTTATGTTTATTAAGTAAGAAAATTTATTAATTTTTCCGTCTAATTTTTCATGCTATTAACTTTTCCTTCTAATTCTTTCTACTACAATAAAATAAAATATTCCCTCCTATTAGTAATAATTTTTTTTTTAAAAAAAACCTATGCCTCATGCCCTCAACAAATCGCTCAAGCGAAGAAATTCACGGTAGCCATCTCCATCCACAGGTAATCCTAAGGTTTCTATTTCATAAAAACTCATGAACTTACTGAAACAAACCTTTGATCACATAGTCACTAGTAGGATTTTGGGGTCAAGTGATGTTAACTAATTGAGAAAGTATTTATTTTCGGAACCATGTGAAGTTTCAAGGTTTCACAATTTAGTTATTAATTTATATTTTCTTGCAGGTTTTACAGGATCCATCTCATCCTACAAATATTTTAATTCCCAGGTATTCAAACTATTGTGACGATTTGATAGGGTTTTTATTTCAATAATTTTGAGTGCATAGGGTTTTAGTTTCAATTTTCATTGAGTTACTGTACTGTGAACGAATCTGTAAACAAGTTACTGTGGTTTAAAGAGTGACACTCTATAGTTGTGGCTTTGTTTCTTAAGAAATCACCACCGATGCTGCCTAGAAATCATATATAACCATGTTTATGAAGCCTTACAAGACCTCATCGATTCCTTAAATATCCATCCAGACTCTTTATAAGCTATAATAGTAATACAAACGTACTGGTCAAATTTATGGAGGTTGTACCATAACATGCCTTGGCATATTTGCTAGTTAAGAAAGTTGTAAGACTTGATCTTGTTATTGGAGAAGTAATAGATATGGACAAGATGGATCATTTAAAGGATATAGTCATGATGAAGTGTTTATTAATGTAATGGTTCTTAATGAGTTACCCTCCTCCTATGGAAAGAAAATTGACTAATACAGTTGATAGATGCAGTTGATCGATGAACTGGTAAATTGTCAATATATGCACCTTTCTTTTTAATTAATTAGTACATGTTTAAATCTTATCAATAACACTAGTAACTGAGAGTAAATTAAAAGATGTCAGAGAAAAAGATTAGCCTTCATACATTATATTGATTTGTTGAAATTTAACTATTTATTTGCAGTTCGAAGATTACGAAGAAAGCAACTGTAGTGGAAGAACAATGATATCAATTTCAGGACTCTTTGTGTGGACTTTGCAGGTTATTATGTGTTTTGTTGTTTTATTTTAATAGTATGGAGGTATTAGTCTTTAATAGTATGAGGGTATAATTCTTGTTTTCTATATGTATAGGTTTTATACTTAATGGATAAAAGTTGGATAAATATATTTAATCGGCTTGATCCTTTGTATGAGAATGGAGCCAAAGTGTTTCTTCATTTTGCATCATTAGATAGGTCAGGTGCATCTGCAATATTGTGTCCATGTCGAAAGTGTCGTAATATGAAATTTGTTCGAAAAGATATGATTGTTGAACATATTGTGGTTAATGTATTTCTAACTAGTTACACTAGTTAGATTTATCATGGCGAGGAGCTATTTTCATAAAAATTGGTCAATCACTAGATAAAGGTGATGAGATGCAAGACATGTTACATGAAACATTTGGAATTCCTCCTACATTTTTTGTTGATATGGACACTAGTGCTGAAGGATTTGATGGGTCAATTCAACATTGCACGGGTTTTAATAAGAATGAAGAATTCTTTCGCTTACTGAAAGAAGCTGGACGTGAATTATATCCAGGAAGCAAGTATTCACTACTTTCGTTCCTTGTTCTTCTATTACACTTAAAGTGTCTTAATGGAAGGAGTAACAAATCATTTTTCATGCTATTAGAGTTGTTAAAAGATGTGCTTCCAGAAGGTGAAAAATAGCCCAAGTCCTTTTATGATTCAAAGAAAATTATTATAGATTTAGGACTTGAATAAAAAAAATACATGCATGCCTAAATGATTGTATGATTTATTGGAACGAGACAAAAGATAGAACGTCTTGTAAGTTTTGCAAAAGCTCCAAGATACGAAAAGTTCAAAGGTAGATCAGTTATCTCTTGTTCTGAAACACCAAAAATTTCATCAAATGTGTTTATATATTTTCCATTTGTACCACGACTTCAAAGACTATTTATGTCGGCTAAAACATCTACGCAAATGAGATGGCATGGTGAAGGTCGCACTAGAGATGGGGTAATGCGACATCCTGCAGACAGTACTGCTTGGAGGAAATTTGATGAAGCACATTCATATTTTGCTCGAGCTCCTCGAAATATTAGACTTGGATTGGCTTCAGATGGCTTTAGTCCATTTAAGTCTATGTCTATCTCACATAGCACATGGCCTATTATCTTGATTCCATATAATTTTCCACCATGGTTGTGCATGAAACAACCATATGATATTATCAACCGTTATTGATGGTCCTCATGCACCAGGTAATGATATTTATGTCTATCTACAACCCTTAATTGATGATTTAAACCATTGTGGGTTGGTGTTGCCACTTATGACATATCAAACAATCACATGTTTCAAATGTGTGCAACATTGCTTTGGAAAATTAGTGATTTTCCAGGGTTACTTAACTTATCAGGATATGGTGTGAAAACTAGATATGGTTGTCCATGTTGTCTTACCACAACTAAATCTACCAAATTGATAAATGGGCGAGAATATTGTCTCATGTCTCATAGGCGATGGTTATCTCATGGACACAAGTTTCGAGAAGATAAAGTTGCATTCAATGGCCTTGTGGATTGAGATGGAGCACCTAAACGGTTGACGAGAATTGAGATTCTTCAGCAATTGAATAATGTTAAAAACAAGTTTCGTAAAGATCTATTTGCTAAATCTCGTAAAAGAAAATGCGATGATGTTGATAATTCGGTGCAACATATGTGGAACAAAAAGAGCATATTATTTTAATTGGTATACTGGAAAGACAATATGATTCTTCATAATCTTGATCAGATGCATATTGAAAAGAATGTATTTGACAATATATTTTGGACATTACTGAATATTGATGGAAAAGGAAAAGATAATTTGAACTGCCGTTTAGATTTACAAGAGATGGCGATCAAAAAGCTTTGAATCCTAAGAAAAAGGCTAATGGAAAATATTATCTCCCTCCTGCATGTTTCGCATTGAGTAACACATAAAAATACATCCTCTTACAAGTGCTAAAAGATGTGAAAGTGCCAGATGGATATGCTTCAAATATCTCAAGTTGTGTTGATCTCAAGAAACGCACAATTCACGGGTTGAAGAGTCATGACTGCCACAATTTAATGCAACAACTCCTTTCTATTGCCTTGCCGAATCTCTTGCCAGTGAATTTACTTACGCCATTGATTGAATTCAGTAATTTCTTTAGGCACATTTGTTCAAAAGATTTGAAGATAGGTGACTTAGAAAAACTCCAAGATTGCGTTGCAATAACTCTATATCATTTGGAGAAAATATTTCCTCCATCTTTCTTTGATATCATGGAACATCTACTTATCCATTTATCAGAAGAAGCAATGTTGGGAGGACCTTCACAATATTGCTCTATGTGGTTTATCGAAAGGTATCATTTTGTTTTTTGTCATCACACATACAAAAACTTGTATTTGTGTTCTAAAAATTGTCTATTTGACGTTCTTGCTTTGTCTTAAAAACTACGTAAGGAATAGATGTTATATAGAAGGTGTGATTGCAAAGGGACGTTGGATAGACGAGTTAATGAAGTTTTTCTCATGGTATTTAGATGACGTCGGGAATAAATCTAATCCATCTTTAATAAATGATTTTTTATCTAATGAAATGACTGACCTAGAGGGTCATCGATCATGTAGAGAGAAAGGATTTAAGCTTAATGACATTACACGTGCTCAAGCCCACATAAATGTTTTATTTAACTCTACCTCTATAAATTCATATTGTGGGTAAGTATTAGATCATAATATAATTAGAAATTAATTATTAAATAATTTTATTTCAGTTTTTATTAAATAGCTATGTGTTATACTTCTGTAGTGACCATATAAAAGAAATCAAGAAAGAAAATCCTCGTCTATCAAGATATAATGTGGATTGAATTCATAATCAATGATTTCAAATATGGTTTAGAAATCATGTAAATATCAACTAGCTAAAATATTTTCTCATTTATTACTATATTGGTAATTATAACTTTTAGATCACATCTTTATTTTTGAATGCTAGGTCGAGAAGAAGCATATGGTTGGTGAAATAATATTTGAGGATATTCAAACTTTATTTATTGTCCCATTAATACAAACAAAAAGAATGACTTGTTATATATGTGATGGAGTTAGACACTTAACAGAGTCTCGTGATGTTAAGAGAAACTCAAAATAATGGTATTATGTTAAAGGTTGTACCTTAAAGTTACGCAAGCATAAAAGATAGAAAATCCCATATTGGCAGAGGCTTCATTTTATGGAATCCTCACAGACATAATTGAGTTATATTATTCCAAGAATCTCACGTTTGTATTGTTTGAATGTAAATGGGTGAACAATAAGAAGGGGCTTATTAAGAAAGATTATTATGTGTTAAAGAATGACAAAAGTCCCATATCGGCGGTTAATGAGATGGGTGGACTCCTTATAAGGCTTGGTCAATCCTCCTCCCTTTGATCTAGATTTTGGGGTGTGAGTTAGGCCTAACACCTAATTTTACATGGTATCAGAGAAGGGCCCATCTCACCCGATGTTTAGGCCCCCCAAAATCAAAATTGCCCACGCACCAGATGCTAAGCACTGGGCATGAGGTGGAGTGTGAAAGAATGACAAAAGTCCCATAAGGCTTGGGAAATCCTCCTCCCTCTGAACTAGCTTTTGGGGTGTGAGTTAGACCTAATTTCACATTATTAATTTACTCTTGTGAATTTTAATCATCTACTCTATACAAAACATCAGTTATCAGATAAACCATTCATCTTTGCTTCTCAAGCTCAACAAGTGTTTTATGTCGATCATCCTATGGAAATGGAGTGGCAAATGGTTGTTAAAGTAAAGACAAGAGGTTTATGATTAAGGTGATGACACAACAACAATTGATCATAAGGAAAGACATATGGAGTTGTGGCCTGAATAACAATTGGATGACACAACATTTGAAACTGAAGAAGACATTGAATGAGTTAGAGAAGGAGTACCAGGATTAGAAATTGACCCAGAAACTTTGGAAAGTAATGAAGCATATGATGAAGATGAGAACATATCTTAGTTTTTGTTACTATAGTAGTATAATCTCTATTTCAGTACAATTGATTGTTGAACAATAGTGACTTTGATGTTTTTACTCTTCATTCTACTTTTAAAATCTCATATGTTTATATGTATTATTATTTTACTTGATAGTTAGTTATTATTTTATACCTGTGTATAGTTATTTGGAAGGATTCATAGCTACTAAGGAACATCGTTGATATGACAAGAAAAAGACAGAGAAATTCTAGTCAAGGTGAGCTTTTATATGATTCTTCGAAGCAACAAAAACAAATAATCAGAAGTATCTCAATGCCTCAACTACCCTAAAATTTTCCACAAAATGAAAGAGCTGAACTTCATGATACAAAAAATCTTCTATGTATTTAATATCATGATATTTATTCTTCCTTTCATAGTATAAAGTAGTTAGATAATTTTTATAAAAATAATAAATTTGTCTCTTTTTATCTTTGATTATTTATAGATTCTGAGCAGCAAAAACAACAAATCGAAAGTATGCCAATGCCTCAACCGCCCCAAAATTGGCCACAAAATGAAAGAGATGAATCCTATGATGCAAAAAATCTTCGAGGTATTAAATAACATAAAATATATTCTTACATTCATAGTATCAAGTAATTGGATAATTTTTATATAAATAATGAATTTGCCTCTTTTTGTCTTTGATTATTTATAGATTTTGAGAAACAAAAGCAACAAATCGGAAGAATGTCAATGCCTCAATGCCCAAAAATTGGCCACAAAATGAAACAGTTGAATCACATGATAAAAAAATCTTCCAGGTATTAAATCTCATGATATTTATTCTTTCTTTCATAGTATAAAATAGTTAGATAATTTTATATAAATAATAAATTTACCTCTTTTTATCTTTGATTATTTATAGATTCTAATGAGAGTGAAGAGCAATCTAAGCAAACTAGGGGTCCCACTATGATGCACTCGGGATGGGGGAAATACGGTGAAAATTTACATATTGAATTGAATGAACACGGTCAAGTTACTGAGTCAGAAGGAAATAGGATGAGTTCAAAACATGGTGTGCTAGCACGAAATGACATCTTAGCGTCACTGAATTATAAAGATTGGAGGCTTGTACCTATTATGTACAAGGATAGAATATGGGCTCATATCAAGGTTCTTAGTATACACAAAACCTATATACTAAGATGTTTCTGTTTTTATATTTAATTTTATAAATGAATTGTGTATTAAATATATGTACAGGAAAATACTAACGCAGCTGATGACATGAAGCGCATACTGATGATGTCATTTGGATCAAAATAGAAAGAATCAAAGCATGAAGCAAAAAACATTGGATATGCCCCATACAACAATGATATTGAGCGTTTAGCTCATCGTCCAGATAGAGTTGAAGAACATCAGTGGCGTTCATTAGTTCATTATTGGAGATCAAAAGAAGCAAAGTTATGTGCTAGGTTTCTACTTATGCATTTGCTCTACTAAATGAGAATTTCATACAGGTTGTCATAAATTATTAATGTCGTGTTTTCCCTGATTATACTTCTTATTGTAGAACAGTTAGAAGTTCTTTCTGATTTGTCCCTTTCTTCTAATTGGCTGAAATAATGTTGTTGTACATTCCCAGTTTGCCAACCTGCACAAAATGTTCTTGTATAGAGATTGATTGCACTTTGGCAAACGCAACTATGCTGTTTTTTTATATTTTTTTTCTTGGATATTTCTTTTATATATTCAAGATTGCACATGTACTCTTATATATTACTAGTAAAAATACCCTCGCATTGCGCGGGAGTTTAATATTACAAAATTTGTAAAATAATACTTCAACTATATCGGTCATTAAACCTAAAACTCTATATTCTCTTACGCACAAGATTATGTAGTAAGAACCATTAACGATGTAAAGGAACATAAATAATTGTTGCATCTTATAATTTATCCTTAATAATGTAAGCATAAACTAATGACTGTAAAAATACATACAAGGATCTGTAAGATAAGCAATGATGCCTGTTAGCCACTCAACAGGAGCAAGGTACATAAATATTTATTTATGAAGAAGAAGAGGTTTAGAATTTTAATTTTTCTAAAATGGGAGGAAAACTCTCTATTTATTGTGTGAACAAAGGATAGTGTTGAAGAATATTTATTGTGTCTTATTGGAAATACTACAACTAATTGGAAAAGTTGCAACGATTCGGTAATGTCACAACCTTTCAGAAAAGTCGCAACTCTTCATTAAAGTCGCAATCTTCATTAAAGTCGCAACTTTTAATAAAAGTCGCAACAGTTTAAAGTCACAACTCTTTAAAAAGAGAATGCTTGTTTGTGGTGGCGCCACGTAGACCTGCTTAAGGTTCTATTTTATATAAATATATGATTGTTTTTAAATTTCTAGGAAAAGAGTGAGAGAAACAAACAAAGTCAAAAATATTGACTATGCCACACATATCAGGGAGAAAAAGTCATTCTCAAATTATAGACGATGTATGAACTAATCATTATTTAATTTTTGTAATTTATATATTAAATAATACTTATTGTGAATGTTTAATGTCAGTCCCTTTCTATTCAAACAAATGATGAAGATGAATAATAGTGTAAAGACAACTCGTATTGAGGTATTCAATTCACATTAGAACGAATAAAGAACCAGGTAATGAGATAGGTGGTCAAGTTATGGTAAGCTCTTACTCTTTAAAAATATATTGGTACTTTATTTTTATTACAATTTTTTAAGAAAAACTTCTCATTACTTTACCTTTCTTTCAAAAAGAAACAAATGGATGATCTTGCCGAGGTGTATCCTGAGTTTAACGTCCCTGGAAGTGCTCCTAATGATATGTACTCCCATGTAATGGATCAGACACTCATAAGAATTGTTCGTACTCTAGGAAATGGAGCATCTCCTATCTTAGTATATGGCCCCGTATATAAACGATCTTAGGCTGAAAAACGAGATTTTGATGCAAGAGTTGAGATAGAAGTTCAAAAAGCTACCTCAGCTATGAAAATTTAGATGACCGAGAAGATGTATGAAGCAAAAAAAGAGATGGAATGGATGGATAAAAAGTTGTTAGAGGCGAAAGAGGAAGCAAAAGAGATTAACGAAGCGATTGAGAGAAAATTATCAGAAGCAAAAAGGGATATGGAAGAAATTATAGCGGATAAAGTGAAGGATGGAATACAAGCATATCTAGAGTCTTTTTGGAATTAATTAATATTGATGCAATTTTAAATCAAAGAAGGTGAAATAATTGTGTTGCCCACCAAAAAAGTACTTTTTTAGATGAAAAGATAGTTTCTCTTAATTATACTAGCCTTCCTCTTTTGCAATATGTTCCTGATAACCAACATAAAGATTGTCAACAACATCATCACTTGTTCCAGATGTTCACACAAGAGAGGTTAGAGAAAATTCATTAAAATTCTAAATTTAATTTAATTTGCGTAAATCCTGACATTTATATGATCACAAGATCAACTAATTCCTCTTTCTTGTTTAATATGGATTAATCGACAAACTTGTTACTTTTGATCATGTAATAGTTTTTAGTTGGATTTGAAGTTGTAGTTTTAGAATTTTCTATATTGCTTTTGATAAGCTAATTGATTGATTCTACTCTGTTTTAGCTCTCTGTTTCTGTCTTAGGGAATGGTAAGTTGCATTGAGTACATTACAGTGATGTTATGGTTTGATGTGTGGCTTATTGTGTGTTATGATGGGAACTAGTGTTTCCTGCTTTGTTTTTCTCTTGAGTTTCATTGGTATGTTGAAAAATGTTGAATTTGATAAGTTTTTATTTGAACTTAATATGGGCTACAAAAAATTCATTGTCTCATAATCTAGATTGTCTTTTTTTACAAGGTAAAGGTTTATTGACTAAAGTACCAATAAGCTACCAAAAGCAAAAGTTGATTACTCTTTCCACTTCTTCAAAAGTGAAAGGCCTCTCCAACCACTCATTATCTTCATTTCGTAATTTTCTCAAAGTATCATCTTCCCAACTTGGTCTCCAACCTTCAGTTTCAGTAAAAAGATCTTGATAAAATCCGTGAATATGATCCTTAATCAACTCATCATCCTCAACAAGCTTCCTTCCATCATTCATTTATCAATAAGATTAATTCTAATTAGTGTTTTTATCTCCATTCTGCAACCACAAGCATCTAGATTTCTGTCTCCAACTTATTTCTTTAGATGTTGCATTTTCCTCTAACGCTTTGATAAATTTGTTCCTTTGAACTTTCTCATTGGTCTGGTTATTTCTTAAAGCCTTTCAAATGCTTTACTCATCCTTGTAAGTTGCTGCATACTTCCTTGTTCCATTTTTTTAAATCTGCCTTTCCAATGCTTTACTCTTCCTCACATCTGGCTCATCTTGTCTGTCATATGATTTCCATCAGCTGTCTATTAAATCGACAAATATGCAGTGTTCAATATACCAAATATTCCCCCACTACTCCCTTGTGCTTTTAATTCGACCAATCTGTCCATCTAGAACCACCAACCTATTTGATACAAGGTAAATCAATCACCTTCATTTTGTCAAAGATAAGTTTATGTTTGAGCATTTTTGAATTTTATAACAAAGGGATCTGAATTTTCTGATTGAGTACCTATATTGAAAGTGCTTCTGTCTTAGCTTGTCTTACCTAGAGTTGCTCTTATGTTTGATTGAAGCACAACATATTGACTATTATTGATTTAGTCGTATTGAATAATATTTTATCTTAGGAGATGATAAAATTTGGGTATACTGTTTGCACTTTGTATTTAAGGATGATTTGTGCTAATCTCCATTACATTATACTCAAGAGATGTCTACAAGTTCATACATGAATGATATTTCAGTAGAATCAGATAAGTAGGTATACTTATAACCATTATACGATATGTCAAGAGAAGGTGCATTAGGAAAGACTCTGCCATTCCATGGTCTAGCTCTTAGAGTTCAATGGAACCATTCATGATGAATGTTTTTAGGAATCCACCAGTATTGAATGTCCAGTTAAACTCACCCATGGAAGGATCAGTTTCCTATTCCATGACGAAAGGGAACGATGAAAATCAGTTTTTAGATTAATCCCAACCTTCATTCCAGGTAAATATGATTCACCTGGATTGTAAAAACTTTGCCACAGGTAGTACAGAGGCTTATTCTCGGTTGCATCTCGAACAACAAGTTGCTTGAATCAAGAAGTTGTGCTACTGGATTTTGCCCATGTCTAGTTGAATCAGAAGACCACATTACTCTGCCAGAACCATTTATAAGAGTAAGAATTCCTTGTCTGGTAAAATTTAGCGCACTGGATGTGTCGTTCAATGTATTTTCTCCATTACAGGTTAGAACTTGAGAAAAAATGAGTTATACGCTGATTTTAGTACTACAAAAACAACTTCCTCTCAATCCCAAGCAAGTTGTAGTAGGTGGACAGCCAGCTAAAACTAGTCATTTTATGATGAATCCTCGGAACACTCATATAAAGATGTTAATTCACTAAAATGTACCTGGGAGGAGCTGATTGTAACCGTTGTTACCAGAATGAAGTCTTGCCAACATGCTAATAAATAGAGCATTGTTATAAGTGGCAGGCTCAGTTTGATCATAGTTGTCTGTTCGATCAGTGAAGTTGTCATAGGCATCAGGTCCACCAATAAGAGAACAAGTAAAGAGATTAGGATCACTTGCCTTTCTACTATAACCTTGAATAGCCTGCCCGACTGCTAACAAAACTAGAATTCACCTGAAACGAGACATCGAGGAAGCTCCGTGGTGTACTTGTCTTAGGTTATTGTTTCCATATCCCACCCTGTAACTTGTTGCTCTCAGGTTGTCACCAAGAATGTAGTACACGTATAAAAACATCAAACATGATGATTAGTTTACCAAGGACACGTTCTTTTTTACTTTTTCAGCAGTGACTGTAAAACTTGTAATATAAATCTCCTCATCTTGTTGATTATCTTTGTTTATGCTACTATCATTAAGAGCTGCAAAATAATTGTATGTGTTGATGCCTTATTCTCTTTCCATTTGTTCATTCTTTTTGTGCATGGAGTCTATTTTTTTTGTTGAATACGGAAACATATTATTTTGTCCAAAAGTGACTAAACTTGCTGCACTAACTAGCAGGGAAAATATTTACATCCATCACAGGAGCACTAGAAAAACTACTGGGACTTCCATGTATATACATAGATGAAGAGTGGGCTGAAGCTATATTTATCCTTCTAAGGAACTCCTCTTCTTGCTTGTCTGCACACAAAACGACCAAAGTTGATGGAGGAGGGCTCGAAAATGTAGTAGTCCAAACAGTAGGGATGCTTCCTCTATTGTAAAAATCTAAGACTGCTAGGCTATCTACTAATTTGTTCTTTTCTCTGTAGACATGGTAGACAGTAGGATCACCCAGCCTTTGAAGGAGGCAACTGCAGTCAAATAAAAGAGGTAAAAAGTTAGTAAAATCAGTATTCAGCAGATTAACTAGCAGCTCAGCATGCACGTTTATTTCCAAAGGCAAAAGTTGATGTTCCCATGCTAAATGTAAGCTCTTGAGCAAAGCATGTAATTCTGTGTCTAAGGGATCTGCAGTGGCCACAATGCCTGATAATCCCAAAATCCAATATCCAACACAAAGAAAAAATTTGAGATAGAGTGCCCACTTCTTCCATGAAAGAAGCAACCTTGGAGCATGTCAGAAAAAGGTGGGTTATAGATTCCATATCACCCAAATTACAAAGCTGACAAATCGGTGAGGGGATGCAAGAGATGTGGTGAAGGTAGCAGGAGGTTGGTAGTCATCCATGGTGTAATACTAAAGATTATTTTATCAGTAGACCACTTCTTGCATTGTGTGTCCATCCCTGTTACATCTTCTTCTGGTTGCTAATATTCATCTATTCCTCTCTTGTTCTTTTGACACTGATTTTTAAGTTCATGAATGTGATCCTCCCTTACTATACTCTACCATTTAAAGTCCTTGTAAGAGGAGGAGATTTGTAAAACGGGCCATCTCCTAAATAATGTAAACATATTAAAAAATTGGCTTTAAAGAAAATACAGAGTCACCAATCTAACAACGTAGTGGAATGGAAATTTGCATTTCCCTTTTACATCTGGAACATATGGTTAACTGAAACAACAAAGAAAGAAGTCTGTTGAAGTCCTTGATTCTGTATGTTGGGCCCAAGCCTGTTAGGGCGTAGCTTAGCACTATATATAGACGCTATGGGAAACCCTATTCTGTAATTCTGTTTTTGCCTCTCCA